GGGGGGGGTAGAATAATTTTATATTTGTTTGTTATTCTTTTTCATAAAATCATTTTATTAAGGGCTCACACCTTTTATCACAATCCATACATACATCAATTGTGTCAAGCACATTTGTGCATATTTTGCCATCATCATTCTCAAAACATTTGTTTTCTACTTGAACCCTTGGTATCAGCTCCTCATTTTCCCCCTCCCTCCCTGCTCCCTCCTCCCCGATGAACCCTTGATAATTTGTAAATTATCATTTTGTCATATCTTACACCATCCGACGTCTCCCTTCACTCACTTCTCTGCTGTCTGTCCCCCAGGGAGGAGGTTACATGTAGATCCTTGTAATCTCTTCCCCCTTTCCACCCTGTCTTCCCTCCACCCTTCCAGTATCACCACTCTCACCACTGGTCCTTAGGGGTTCATCTGTCCTGGATTCCCTGTAATGCCAGTTCCTATCTGTGGCAGTGTACTTCATTTCTATCATTCAAATTACATACTTTTTTTCAGCCCAAGCCCTGTTGGCACAGTGTTTATGTGTTGGGCTGCTAATGGCAACGTCAGGAGTTTGAAACCACCAGCCTCTCTGAAGGAGAAAGATGAGGCTTTCTTCTCCGGTGAAGAGTCAAAATCTTGGAAATCTTCACAAGCAGGTCTCCTCTGCCCTATCGGTCACTGTGAATCAGAATTGATTCAATAACAGTTCATTTTGTTTTTTAAATTGTTTCATGACAAACAAAAGCTATGATGGAAAAATGCAATTGTTTTTGTGAGCAGCATGCTGAATTCTAGGCAAAGCTTGTGATATTTCAATAGCTATAAACATTTACTAGAAGTTACTGTGTAGAACATTTTTAATCAGCTCAGAAATTATTTACTGTTCTTTGATGGCACAAGGTCAGCTGTTATTTTTAATAGTATTTATGAGATTGGGAGGAGGCATATAGGAAGTAGAAACTATTATGGAATCATGAATTTGAGTCTGATAGTGTAATAGGGTAGGATTTGGGGGAGGGGTGTTCCTTGGACAGGGGATTAGTGTACTTTACATATAGATGACAGGGAAGGAAATAGGCTTAGAGGATAGATTATGGAGGAATTTGGATCTTGCACTGTTCTAATTGGTCATCAAATATTAGGGGATTAAAACAAAAAACAACAACATGTATTTCTTCATGATTCTGCAGAGAATCATCCCGTTTACTTGGGTGATTCTTCTGATTTCGGCCACTGTGGCCAAAGCTAGGTGATTTCCTGTGGCCTTTAGGTAAGTGCCAGCTACATCAATGGCAGTGAACTTGCCATGTGTCTGGCATCATCCGACAATTGACTCCAGGCTTGTTCGCATAGTAATTGTCTCAAGGTTCCCAAGAATAGCAAGAGAGCAAATCCCAGCATATAGTTGCTTTGGACACCTGCTTGCATTGTATTTACTACATATCTTTACCAAAGGAAATCACATGGCTAGATCAAAATTCAGAGTATGTCAAAATAGACTCTCCTTCTTGATAGCCATTACAAGAAGACAGGTATTCCTGGGAATTATTTGTGATCATGTAAACAATGTAAATGCTATCCATGCCACATTTTATCATGTTGTTTACTCTTAAATCTCCTCTGATGTCCCTTGACCCCTGATAACTAAAATAGCTCTTGCCAAAGTCATCAATGATGTGAACATGACTGCTTCTGAAGAGTACATGGATGCTATCTGAGAACATTGACATGTTTATCACTTAAGAAATAAACAGACACTTCTTTGTCTGGCTTCCACAGGTCTTCTGTGATTTCCATGGCCATTCTCAAAAGAAGAACGTGTTTCTTTACGGTTGTAGCATCAAAGAGACCTTATGGCAAACGGAGTGCCCTGTGAGCACAATGACTGTCTCGGAGGATGTCAGCTACAGGGTAAGTCAGTGGACATGGATGGTAGACATTTCTGTCAATGCTTCTTTCACACAAATGCTCCATAAATAGGTATTTGATTATTTTTGACTGTACGATTATGGTATACACTTTATTAACACTAGAAAAATAAAGTATTCATGGAAAATGCAGTAAGAGGCATGGATTACTTGCCCTTGTTTTTGTAGGGTCTTATTGCCTGGCTTTCCTGAGCAGGTGTGTTTCTGTGGGGGCAAACCCCAACAATTCCTTTCCATAATATGCCCCATGATTGTCATGTATCCTGTGAGAAAATCTAGCAAGATTTCACCCTTAGAATCTGCAAATAGTGTTGGTCATAACTTTCTGAGCTAGCTCACTGTACTACCTTGAATTTAACTGACTCAGTGGATCCCCTTGGAGCCACTGTTTGGGTCAAAAATTTGACAGCACCCTATAGAGGCTAGAACAAATATATTACTGGGAAAACTTTCCCTCAGTCATCCACTTATCAGAGACATATTTAAACACATTTGGATTGCAACAAACCCATGCCTGTATGAATAAGGACCCCATCAGCATCAATTTACTTGCCCTTGCATACCGCAAAGGAATATTAGAGAAAGAAAACCTTGGTTTTTTTGGTTTTATTTTTGTTTTTACTCATTTTATTAGGAGCTCATACAACTCTTACCACAATCCATATATACATCAATTGTGTAAAGCATATTTGTACATTCATTTCCTTCATCATCTCAAAACATTTGCCCTCCACCTAAGCCCCT